GGTATTCCAAAAGTTAATATTAGTATTAAAAATATAGGTATCAGCATGAGAACCTGAATGGTGGGCTACTTCCTTCATGAATATAAAGCAAAATATTCGTCAAATTGTGATGTCAATCATTACATTATAAATTCGAAACTATTGAGCAGAATCTACATAGGCTTGACGGGCTGATGTGGGACAGGAAGAACTTTACATGCTGTGGTTATAGCACTGCAAAAGGAATGGCAGCTTAGAAGACAAGGTGAAAAATCAGAAAGGAACAGGAAATAGGAAATGAAAGAAATAAAATTATTTTTCCTGAGTTCAGCCAGCAGTACAGCCTGGGAAAGGTGTCCTCTCTCCACCAGCAGAGTTCATGCCGATTCTGAATCTTGGGTATAACAACGTCACTGGTATTGCAATATTCCTCTTAATTATGGAAAATCTATTACACAGTCAGCACTGTCCTGAAGGTAGCTCTGGTCACCTAAATGTGACAACCACAAATTGAACACCCACAAAAACTTTTCAGCTGAACACATTGGCACAGACAAGGAAGTAACTTTGATGACATCATTTACAAAACTCGAGAACTATTTTAAAAGATTATTCAAGGATTATTCTCTAATAGAAGAAAATAGTGCGCCTTACAATGTACCCAATATTCCATGGGAAAGTGTACACAAATGAAGTCCATATAATGTACAACAGCTCACAGATCTTTAGGACAGAAACAATCAACCCCATGATTTCACACATACACCAGGAATAAAACACAGCAGCATCAAGTGATATGGGAGTAGAATCACATTAATATTTCCTTCTCAAAAGACTTCAAAATAAATGAGATAACATCCTAAGTAATTGTACATCTGGAAACATCAATTCTTTTGATATATTCAAGTATACAAACATTACCTAACTACATTTAAAGTTTGGAGTACACTGCATAATAAACATTTTGGTTTAGAGCAATATCTGAAAGGCATTTTGGCTACCTATCTAGTAGCCAATTTAGTGATACTTTAAAATTCATAATCAATTACATACTTGGATAAAGTTTTTACATCTTAAGGCATAAATTCCTTGGAGTTTTATAAACTATATATATTTTTTAATTAATTTTTTATTACGGTATTACATATGTGTCCTTATCCCACCATAACCACCCCGACCTCCCCAACTCATGCCCTCACCCCCCTGTTGTCTGTGTCCATTAGTTAGGCTTATATGCATGCATACAAGTCCTTTGGTTGATCTTTGGTTGATCCCCCTTACCCCCACCCTTCCCTACCTTCTCTCTGGGGTTTGACAGTCTAATCGATGCTTCTCTATCTCTGGATCTGTTTTTGTTAATTAGTTTATGTTGTTCATTATATTCCATAAATGAATGAGATCATGTGATATTTGTCTTTCTGTAACTGGCTTATTTCACTTAGCATAATGCTCTCCAGATCCATCCATGCTGCAACAAATGGTAAGAATTCTTTCTTTTTTACTGCAGTGTAGTATTCCACTGTTTTTTAATCCACTCCTCTACTGATGGGCACTTAGTCTGTTTCCAAATCTTAGTTATGGTGAATTGTCCTGCTATGAACATATATAAACTGTATATTTTAAACAAAAGTCCTTCCTCCTATATCATGAATGTAGAATTTCTACCCAATTATAATCCCTGATAAGACTGGGGCTGTAGGTCCACCTATATGATTTCCCACATTATTCAATTTTAAGGTTTCCCCCGAGAATAAATCCCCATGTGAGGAATAAGCTATGGATGCTAATTAAAGACTTCAGGACAATGTTTGCACTTGAATTGTTTCTCCCTAGTATGAATTCTGATGTCAGGTAAGGTTTGCATACTGAGTAAGCTTTGTCATATTCTTTATATCTGCTCAGCTTTGATCCACTAATAATTATCAGATGTTGTATAAGATACAAATAAGGATATACACTTTGACATATGCCTGATAATTTGTAAGACCTCATTTTATCGTTCTTAATGTAGCTTCAACCATTGAAGCTTAAATCCTTAGATGAAAACTTCGTTAATGCTATTTCTCTTTAGAATGATTCCTGAAATGTTGAGTAGGGTAGACCACAGGTTAAAGGCTTTCTTAATTTTCTAGTGTAAGGCTTTCCTCCACTATAAAATCTCTGATGTTCAGTAAATTGTGAGCTATGTGTAAAGTCTGCAGCCAAACTCTACATTTGTAAGGACTGTCTTTAGTATGAGGTCTCTCGGGTACAGCAAGACATGAATGCCTTTTAAAGGCTTTTCTATGTTTTTCACATTTGTAAGTCTTCTTGCCAGTATCCATTCTGTGATGTTCAGTAAGTTCTCATAGCTGGTAAAGGACTTACGACACTCTTCACATCTGTAACTCTTCTCTCAAGTATGAATTCTGCTGTGCATTAAGGCAGGAACACTGATGAAAGGCCGTTATATCCTCTACATTTATAAGGCTTCTCTCAAGTGTGAACTCTCTGATGCCTAGTAAGGCCTGAGGAGGTGACAAAGGATTTGCCACATTCTCTACATTTATATGGCTTTTCTCCTGTATGAATTCTGTGATGTACAATAAGATTTGAGGACCTGCTAAAGGCTTTTCCACATTCTCTACATTTATAAGGTTTCTCTCCAGTGTGAACTTTCTGATGATTAGTAAGGGTTGACAAGTGGCTAAAGGCTTTGCCACATTCTCTACATTTATAAGGTTTCTCTCCAGTGTGAATTTTCTGGTGATTAGTATGTGATGAGTACTGGCTAAAGGCTTTGCCACATTCTCTACATTTATAAGGCTTCTCTCCAGTATGAATACGCTGATGACGATTAAGATATGAGGAGTAGCTAAAGCTTTTGCCACACACTTTACATTTATAAGGCTTCTCTCCAGAATGAACTCTCTGATGATAAGTAAGGTGTGAGAACCGACTATAGGCTTTGCCACATTCTCTACATTTAAAAGGCTTCTCTCCAGAATGAACTCTCTGATGATAAGTAAGGTGTGAGAACCGGCTAAAGGCTTTGCCACATGCGCTACATTTATAAACCTTATCTGCAGTATGAATTTTATGATGACGAGTAAGTTTTGAGGACTCACTGAAGGTTTTGCCACATTCTCTACATTTATAAGGCTTCTCTCCAGTATGAACTCTTTGATGTAGATTATGGGAGGAGGACCGGCTAAAAGCTTTGCCACATTCTCTACATTTATAAGGCTTCTCTCCAGTATGAACTCTCTGATGTAGATTAAGGGAGGAGGACTGGCTAAAGACATTGCCACATTCTCTACATTTGTAAGGCTTCTCTCCAGTATGAACTCTCTGATGCCCAATAAGGTTTGAGGGCCAGCGAAAGGCTTTGCCACATACTTTACATTTATAAGGCTTCTCTCCAGAATGAACTCTCTGATGATAAGTAAGGTGTGAGGACCGGCTAAAGGCTTTGCCACATTCTCTACATTTATAAGACTTCTCTCCAGAATGAACCTTCTGACGACTAAGGTAAAAGGAATTGATAAAGGCTTTGCCATATTTGCTACATTTATAAGGCTTCTGTCCAGTATGAACTCTCTGATGAGTAATAAGGTTTGAGGGCCAACTAAAGGTTTTCCCACATTCTGAACATTTGTAAGTCATTTCTTCTCTATGATTTCTATGATGTTGATTGTGTCTTGAGGACTGACTAAAGCCTGTTCCATTTTCCCTGAGTTTGTAAAATTTTGCATTAGCATGAATTCTTTCCTTATGTACAATAAGAGATGAATGACATTTAAAGGCTTTGCCACATGCTTTACATTTGTAAGGCTTCTCTCCAGTATGAATTTTCTGATTTAGCATACAACCTGAAGGCCAATTCGATCTTTCACCAGAATCTTTACATTTATAAGGTTTTTCTCCATTATGGATTTTTTTCATTTTATTTAGATTGAATATTTGACTGAAGACTCTCCCACATGGATTCCATTTGTAAGCCTCCTCTCTAGCATGAATATTCTCTTGTTCAGTGTAATTTGAAGACTGCTGAAAAGACCTGACACATTTACTCTCTTTGCGTGTCTTCTCCGCGATAGGAATAACCTGACATATATTGTGATTGGACATTCGGTCAAAGACTCTTCCGCTTTTATAATGGTCCTCTGCAAGTTCCCCTGTCCGATGATTAATATATGATTCTTGCTTAAACTTTTTCCATTGTTCAATCCATTGATAACTGCTATCTCCATTGTGTGTACTCTGGTGATAACAGGAGATAGAAAGGCCTTTAGCCACAGTTATAATTTCATTAAACACGTACACTTGTTCCATAATACCATTTTTTTAGGTATTAAACCAAGATAGTTGTATAAAAAAAGCTTTCCTAATATATTAAAATTATAGACAAAAAAAGTAAGTACAAAACATTGTCAGAGGAAGAAGGATGAATCGTTTTTAAAAGACTGCCAAAATGCCAAGCCAGCATGCCTTAGATTTTCTTTCCAAAATGCCTAACAGTAAAAAGTTGTTTTCGACCCTCATGTGCATAAACACACAGATCTCCCAAAGTAACTGACTTTAAAATGACTTAATACACGTGACCTCATTAGGTAACAAGAATTTAATTATAATAACTAGAGGCCCGGTGCATGATATCATGCAAGGGTGGGGTCCCATGGACTGGAGGGCTAGCTAGACAGGAAATGACCGCAGCCAGGGAGGTACCATTGGTAGATCAGTGTGTTTCTCCAGGGCGTGTCTGGCCTTCTCACCCAGTACAGCCGGACCACAGTAGCAAGCTAATCTACTGGTCGGAGTATCTGCCCCTGGTGGTAAGTGCGCGTCAGAGCGACTGGTTGAAGGGTTGACCAAATGGTCGATGGATTGGTCGGACACTTAGATTACGCTTTTATTATATCGGACTATTTCAGATTAGTTCTTTGTATATTAACATCTTCTGTTATCAACACACTCTTCCTCAAATTCAAAGGCTTTCATTATAAGTATTCATTGTCAAAGCAACGCCTTTTATATCTTACCAGTATTATTTCAGAGAATAAATCTTGTATTCCGGGCTTTGGCATAAAGGCATGGTTATCTTTACATGAAAGAGCTGAAAGAAAAGAAATATTTAGGTTTTGACAATCAGGTGAGTGCACTTTGAACTTACCAGCAAGTATTGACCGAATGACATTTTGGAGTACTCCAAGAGCAAGTGAAGAATTCAAACAAAGCTCAAGACAGGTACAATGAAGAAAACTCACATCAAAGAGGAACAAAGAATTGCTTACGTTTACCAATGATACCTGCTCAAACACCTTGGAACACAATGGCAATATTATAAAAACACTCCCAATTCCAAGTTTCTTCTCTGGAGGGAAAGAGAGATGAGGAAAGTGCGTGTTCAATGATCTCCCTGTTTTGAAGCACCTTGAAGAACATGTGTCTGTGTGCATGACACAGAGTGAGAACAGAATGGCAGTACACGGTGAGTGCCCTGTAGTGGCTGCTACAAAGAAATAATGAGAAAGTGTTCAAGCACCACAAAGACTGTGGTACTGAAGATGTATATGAAGCCTGAAAAGATACCGTGGGTCTGAGAAAGAAACAGAGAACATTTCAACTGGGAAATTAAAAAGACAACCGAACCAAGAATACAAATCCTGAAAACAGTGTTGACCGAAAAATTCCTTCCACAGATGATTACCATTTGTTTTCTCCTACAGAAACCATGATCAAAAGCCTGCTACTATACAATTCTGGAGTCTCAACAAAAGATATCACGTCATTCCAAAAACAGAAAAAGTGTACCATCAAGAAAACAAAATAAATGTAATCAAACTGGCACTACATTAATGGAAATATATTAATTACCTGAAAAAGAATGGAACTAAATATCTTAAAGCCCAAAAGTAAAAAAAAAAAAAGACAACTAAATAATGTCAACAAAATATTACATAACCAAAGTAAAAATAGAATGAGAAAGTATTTTATAAACATCACACCAAAGGGGAAATTGAAAAATATAGTACCAGAATTAAAAAATACAGAATCATTAGTGAAATATATGTTCAACTTAAAACATCAAAGAATTTGCCTGGCAGCAGTGGCTCAGTGGTTGAGCTTCGATCTATGAACTAGATCAGTGATGGCGAACCTCTGACACACGTGTCAGACGTGACACGCACTCATTTTTTTAGTTGCTTTTTCTTTGTTATATGGCATTTAAATATATAAAATAAATATCAAAAATATAAGTCTTTGTTTTACTATGGTTGCAAATATTAAAAAATTTCTATATGTGACATGGCACCAGAGTTAAGTTAGGGTTTTTCAAAATGCTGACACGCCGAGCTCAAAAGGTTCGCCATCACTGAACTAGATGGTCATGGTTTGGTTCCACGTCAGGGCACAGGCCTGGGGTGAAGACTCGATCCTGATCATGCAAGAGGCAGCCAATTGATGATTCTCTCTCTTCATCGATGTTCCAAAAGTCAATATGATTGAATAATGGGCAGAGGACCTGAATAGACATTTCCCAAACAGGATATAAAGATTCCCAATAGACATATTAAATGATGTTCAACTCATTCATCATCAGAGAAATGCAAATGGACACCACCATGAAATACCACCAAACACCTAACAGGATGCCAATCATCCATAAATCAAAAAAACAACAAGTATTACCAATGAAGTGGAGAAATAAGAACATTCATGCACTCTCAGCAGGATTATAAACACATTGGTGCAGCCACTAACAAAACATGATGGAGGATTTTCCAATATTTAAAAACAAGTATCAGGTAACACAATGATTCCATTTCTGGGGATTTATACAGAGAATACAAATTCAAAAAGATATACCCACACATATATCCACTGCAGCACTATTTGCAACAGTAAAGATATTGGACTGGAAAAAAAAGGACTATTTTTATAATGATGCTGTACCATCTATATATATATAAAAGCCTAAGCGACCATTATGACCAGTCGACAGCTCGACCTATCACTATGACAAACACTGACCACCAGGGGGCAGACACAACGCAGTCAGTGAGCTCCTACAGCCAAACTCCCACAGCCACCCAACCTCCCGCGACCCCTCCCCAGAGCCGATTGGCCCTGATTGGGACTGGGTGATACAGCGATGGCCAGCCAGGGCAAGGGATCACACCCCTGCATGACTTTGTGCACCAGGCCCCTAGTTTAAAATCAATTAAATGACTTCATTTGACTTGACATGTAAGGAGACAAAATTTATATCTCAACTCATCTCCTTCAAGACAAGACTCACTATGTGTTTATTCCAGAAATGACACAATAGCTTCAAATATAACTTCCATGTTATTGAATATAAAGCTACATTAGGAGCTCCAGTGGTGCAATCGGTTAGCGCGCGGTACTTATAAAGCTACATTAATTTCATACATCTCACATTTTTGAAAGGCAAATACATAACCAAGTTTGTGTTTCAATTCATTGTATTAAAATGGAAACATCCAACGTATCAACTCAAACATTAAAGAAAAAACAAGAACAATAAATATGGCAATCTCAACAGAAAAAAAGAAGAAGCAGCCACAGGCTGAGAAAATATTTTGTTACAGTCAACATGACCCAGCTGGCATGGCCCAGCAGTTGATCATCCACCTATGAACCAGAAAATCATAGTTCAATTCCTGGTCAGGGAACAATATCAAGTTGTGGGCTCGATCCGAAGTAGGGGGTGTGCAGGAGGCAGCTGATCAATGATTCTCTCTTATCATTGATGCTTCTATCTCCCTCTTCCTCTCTCTTTCTCTCTGACGTTAATATATATATGTAAAAGTCAACATGTACAGGACAATTATGCTAAACACACAAGGAAGACTTCAAACTCAACATGGACAAAAGAACCAACGTGAAAAGGGCCAAACATCTTAATGCACAGCACTACAAAATATATACACATAGAAAATCAGTGTAACAAGATCCTGCACATCTTAGGTCACTAAGGAAATGCACATTAAAACAATGAGAACAAACAAACAGCACAGGCAAGCAACAGTAAACCACCATTGAACTGGTCATAAAATCCAGAACATTGACCATACCAAATGCCTTTGTGATGGTGGAACAACTGGAACTCCAATCACTGCTGCTGAAAATGCCAAATGCTACAGCCCCTTGGAGAGATGCTCTGGAGGTTTTTATAAAACTGAATACACACTCAGTAATTGGGCTCCTTACTCTTAAACCAAAGAGTTAAGCCTTTTATCTACACAAAAGCCTATAAGGGGCTGCTTATTCATGATTTACAAAAATTGGAAGCAATGCAGAGGTCCGTCAACAAGTGAATGGATAAATATAGTGAAGTACATACAATGAAGTCTTATTCACTACTGTAAAGAAATAATACATCAAGCCATGAAAAGATATGACAGAAACCTAGATACATAGAAGTAAGTGAAAGAATCCAATCTGCCTGCAAAGGTAGCCCAGTTGCTAAGAGGACTGTACCTATATAATAAAGTTGTAGGTTTGTGTTGATGTTCTTTGTGAATGGAGACGCTGAGATGAGCTTGGCATGCAGGATTAAGTTTAGAGAAGCAGAGGGCTATTGCTAGTCAGGCAAGTAGCAAAAGCCCCCAAAGCCCTCATGGCTTTTATTCAGGGAGTACAGCAAATAACAATGGAGTACAGCAAGTAACAATGATTAACAAGCATGCTTATGAGATCATCTGAGCTAAGTTATACATTACACTACTAATTTCCTATATTATACAAAGACTCTTTCCACCTGCAGCAGTGTACCCTCCCGTGAACTTTCCATGCCCTCATGGACTATTTATCACCTGAAGGAAAGTTCTGCCTCTGAACAATAAGACTTGCTTGCAAGACTGTGTTCTGACGTGGCCTGCTTGAAGGCTCCCGTCCTTTCTTGGCAGAATGTCCTCTTCTAGTTAACTTCATTCCACCTGTCCAGCTACAGTTTGATCTCTGGGCAGGGCACATACAAATAAATCAATTAATGCCCAGCTGAAGTTTCTATCTCTCTAATTCTCCTTTCCTCTCTGAATTCAACGAAATTTTAAAAAATCAAAAGATAAAAGAAATAGAGTGTGAATTTTGATAGAAGCTTTCCCATTTCAAATCCAGTTTGTCCTCTGGCCAGAAGACATGACAGAATATTAAAATATTTTACAAAATGATAATCGAAAGCATTATTTTCTGATAGTACTTCCATGTAGACATGTAAAGTGTACAAATATTGAGTTCCTAATTCATATAACAAATCCTTTCTTTTCTACATAAAAAAATCCCCAATTTGTTCCTTTTAAAAAAACATATTTTTCTTGCTTTCAGAGAGGAAGGGAGAGGGAGAGAAAGAAACATCAAGGATGAGAGAGAATCACTGACTGATCTGTAGTCTCCTGCACAATCTGGGCATTGGCCCTGGACCTGAATCTAACCTGGGACCATTCAGTCTGCAGGCAACTGAGCCTATCCGCTGAGCCAAACCAGCTAGGGCCCAATTTCTTCCTGGAGAGCAAAAATCTACCATAGAAAGCAGAAGCCTCTCAGATATGTTAATATAATAAAGGAAATAAAACCTTAGGGGTGGAGTAGGAACTCCGGAAGCAAGTCAACCTCACCCAGGGAAGCCAGGTTGCTGTAGTTCTCCAACATCACATCCATGTACAACTTCCGCTGACCTGGGTCCAGGCATTCCCACTCCTCCTGAGAGAAATCTATGGCCACATCCCTGAAGGTCAACGGTCCCTGCAAGAAAAGACACATTTACCAAGAGGTCACCAGTGGAGTTCATAATGTCACCCAACATGAAAACAGTGTTAGGAGAAGAGGTTGGGTCCTAGGGGAGTATCCTGAATCACCCAATAAGATCACTTTGATCAGTAACATTCTCTGATGTGTTTTCTGACACTGACAAATGAGGATGACACATGTACACAGATCCACAGTACAGATTTTTCTTTATAAGAAAATAAACTTTAAAATTAAGACATAGGCCTAGCTGGTTTGGCTCAGTGGATAGAGCAGGGGTGGGCAAACTTTTTGACTCGAGGGCCACAATGGGTTCTTAAACTGGACCGGAGGGCCGGAACAAAAGCATGGATGGAGTGTTTGTGTGAACTAATATAAATTCAAAGTAAACATCATTACATAAAAGGGTACGGTCTTTTTTTTTTTTTAGTTTTATTCATTTCAAACGGGCCGGATACGGCCCGCGGGCCGTAGTTTGCCCACGGCTGGGATAGAGTGTCGGCCTGCAGACTGAAGAGTTGCAGGTTCAATTCCAGTCAAGGACACATGCCTCGATTGTGTTGCGTGCTGGATCCCCACTAGGGGGTGTACAGGAGGCAGCTGATCAATGATTCTCATCATTGATGTTTCTATCTCTCTCTCTCCCATCCTCTCTGAAATAAAAATATATATATTTAAAAAAATTAAATTAAGGCATGGACACAGGCATATGGATTTTTGAGTGCTTGTTTGCATCGTTCAGGGTCAGTGGTGTATATTTCTCAGCTGTAAATGTGATGGTGGGTTGGAAGTATATCGACTTCTTCTCAAGTGTAAAGCAACCACTATGAAATGAACTTGTATGAAGACACAGATTCTGATCCAGATTCTCAGCTGGGGCCTGTGTTTCCACATGTGTAACAAGCTCACTTTTTACTTCGATGTCAATGTTTCCGTATCAGGTGCCATACTTCTGAATACACAAAAAAAGAAAACAGAAGAAAAAATTCATACCAAACTTAGAACTAAAACGGTCGTTAATGGAATTTACAGTTGTCATGAAATAGGACACATATGAACCATAATCTTAGTGGAAAATTTCACATGAGTAATCTTAGAATAAGATTATTCTGCCTGGTCCAGCGGTTCAGTGCTGACCCATGAACCAAGAGGTCAGATTTGATTCCCGTTCTGGACTCAATGCCAGTGTGGGGTGTGCAGGAGGCAGATCAATAATTGTCTCTCATCACTAATGTTTCTAACTCTCTCTACCTCTCTCTTCTTGTCTGAAATCCATAAAAATGTTCTTGAAAAAAAAAAAGAAAAAATTGCTGAAATCATGTTAACCGTTTAAGCATAGAGACATACATTTCACAACTATGAAATCAAGATGCTTTAGTGATTCTGTAAATCTCATGAATCTATTTGTGTATGTTCCCCTTTGTGTTTTATAAACACAATAAGGAGAGAAACATAAGGATTCAAAACAAGTTAGACTTATTATTTCCTTTTTGTGGTTGTAAATCCTCACCTGAGGAGATTTTTAGCATTGACTTTTCAAAAGTGGAAGGCAAGGAGGTAGAGCCAGGAAAGGGAAAGACAGGGAGGGGAGGAAGGAAGGTTGGAGAGAGGGTGTGTGTGGGGAGAGAGAGAGAGAGAGAGAGAGAGAGAGAGAGAGAGAGAGAGAGAGAAATGTGAAAGAGACAGAGAGATACATGGATTGGCTGCCTACCACGGGTACCCAGGACCTACTTGCCCTGGACAAGGAATCAAAACCTCCACCACTGATCCACACCAGCCTGGGGGAACTAATTTTTGTTACTACTAAATTTCATTCAAAATTTTTGTGTCATCAGTGCAGAGCTATGTTGTAGAAATTTAATGTAACAAAACACACATTAATAATATCATTTTGGAAACTTTCTAGAAAATACAAAAAGTGATCATGTACAGTATGTCCGTTACATGAGTATAAAATATAATGAAAATTTAAAGAATCAAGGCCTGATTATATTAAGCTCCCATGAAAAAGCCAATGATCTATAGGAAATAAACGTTAAGTCCTTCAGTTTCAAAAGGAAACACAAACTAAGAGGGACATTTCCAGATGTGAAGTGATGGTCTTTGTACAACTTTGATTAAACTCCTACTAACCCTTCTTACGGAGAAAGGGGCACTATTAACTCTACGGTGAGTGCAGCACCTCTGCCACGTGAACATCACGTAGAGCAGAGGTCCTCAAACTTTTTAAACAGGGGGCCTGTTCACTGTCCCTCAGACATTCCACACATGCGCACTGCGGCCCCAGAACAAGTCGGCTGCTAAGCATGACAGGCAGCGGTGGCAAAAACACTCGGCAGGCCAGATAAATGTTTTCGGCGGGCCGCATGTGGCCCACGGGCCGTAGTTTGAGGACCCCTGAGGTAGAGTGAGACAATGGGCATCAGTTGACTGAGGCACATGGAAGGGCAGGTCACCACTGTTGACATTACTGGCAAAAATATATCAATAAATAAATAATTATGAGGAAATAATAAAAAATAAACATTAATTTTTGCAAGTGTCAATGCATGTGTACCTCTCATGTTCTGTAAGCTAATAGTACAGTTACCTACCAAGTCTTTCGTACTAATCTAGTGAGCAACTCTCTTTTATTTACTCTTCTTAGAACTTTGTGAGCTATTGTGAGCAGTAAAATGTGCATTTTCTTACCCCTGATAAAAAGCTGATGCGGCAGCCACTTGAACCTAAAACCTACATTTCCCTTCTTTAAGACACAAGAGCCTCTGACCCCATCTCAAATCCCAATAGGGATGTTAGACATGAATGCCTTCCCAAGTGGATCTGTCATAAAAGGGATGTTCTGAATAGTTGAGAGTCATTAATTAAAGGTGGGAATGCTTCCTGACCTTGTGGAGGCTGCAAAAAATGAAGGCAGAGAAGGCTCTGGGAAAAAGAAGAGAAGTATATCCCGGCCAGAGTGGTTCAGAAGTAGAGCGTTGACCTATGAACCAGGAGGGCAAGGTTGCATTCCTGGTCAGGACACACTCCAGGTTTCAGACTGGATCCCCAGTGGAGGATGTGCAGGAGGCAGCTAATCAAAGATTCACTCTGCTCACTGATGTTTCTCTCTCTCTCTCTCTCTCTCTCCCTTTCCTTCGAATTCTGAAATCAATAAAAACATATTAAAAAAAGAGAGAGGGAGCCCTAACCGGTATGGTTAAGTGGATAGAGCGTCGGCCTGTGGACTCAAAGGTCCCAGGTTCGATTCCGGCCAAGGGCATGTACCTTGGTTGCGGGCACATACCCAATGGGGAGTGTGCAAGAGGCAGCTGATCGATCTCTCTCATCGATGTTTCTAACTCTCTAGCCCTCTCTCCTTTCTCTGTAGAAAATCAATAAAATATATTTTTTTAAAAATTGAGAAAAAAAAAGAGAGAGGGAAATATAGAAACTGCTTTCACTGACTATCATAAGAAAAAAGGAAAGAAATAAGGAAAGAAATAAGGAAAGGAAAACAACCAAGAAAGGCAAAAACATCAGAAGTAGAGAAATATGGAGGAGAGGACGGAGCCCAGAGAGATGAAGGGGGGCTGAAAGAGAGATGGGTCCTGGTGAACCCAAGTGCAGGCAACAAAGGGGTAGGCACTTCAGACAGGGAGACTGGTTCAGAGGAGATAAATTGGGGGGAGCGAGTGCAGGCACAGAAAGGGGGGTTTAAGGATGACTGAGCAGAGGGAGAAGCAGCACAGAGTCAGCCCGCTGTGAGTAAGAGGACATTCTGTAACAAGGGCAGCAGAGGGGACACAGGCATAGGGAGAGAAAGAGAAATATATCAACAAATATTCAAGGAAAGGCAAACATAGCCTCTGAGACAGAACCATTCTTTTACCTGAGAAGCAGCCATTTGGTCCTGGTCCTGATCGGGGGTCTGGATTGTTTCCTCAGGTGACAGTATGTTGAGGAGTCACAGAATGTGCCTTCAAAGGAGATCGCACAGCCTGTTAATCAGCTCAGCTCACACTCACAGTCAGGAGGACCTGAAAATTAGGAAAAGGCCACCCCTCCTGTCCTTGGTCACAGGAGAGTCAGGAACAATGAGCTCCTACATGGAGACCACACTGTGAGGGGTTTTATTCTGTCTTCATGTGTCTGCCCTTCCAAAGACATCCATACGCTCCTACAGCAATGAAAGCACATACTGCCCAGTTGTAACCCCAAACCCAACACACCACCTCTTACCTCCCCTGAAAAAGTCTGCCCTAAGGCCCATGACAGGGCATCTTTAACTAGTTCTCTCCTGGGGCCTGTAAAGCTCCCCCAGAGCTGTTTTCAGTAGCGGTGGGTACCAGACATCAGACCCAGCACCCCTGAGACCTCTGTGGTGCGGGAGGGGGTGAAGCGGGAAGTTGTACACCTGCAGGTTCCCCAGGCAGATTTCCTTCCTCTTGTCCCAGGAAATTACGGAGAATAGATCTTCATGCTAAAGCCTTTGGGGAAAGTTATCTATTGAAATATGCTCAGTAAATGACTTCACCATGAATAGATGGGCTCTGTGGGAACAAAGTTCGAGTTCAACCCAGTCCATCCTTCAATATTTTCAGAGAATGGACAGGAGGGACTTGGGGAACAGCTCCTTTGTGGCTCACAGGCACTAATTCAACAAATCGCATGAAGGGAAGGAAAGAGGTGCTGAACATTGGACCAACTCACAGAACTAGCTTCTGACTGCTGAGATCATTGACATTGTGCTCTATCCCATTTCACTCAAGGGAGAGAGTGTCTGCCTGCAGAGTGAAGGGTCTCAGGTTGAATTCTGGTCAAGGGCACATGCAAGGGTTTGGGGCTCCATCCCAGGAGGGGGCGTGCAGGAGGCAGGTAATCAGTGATTCTCTCTTATCATGGAGATTCCAATCTCTCTCCCTATCCCTTCCTTTCTCTGAAATCAATAAAAAAATGAATTTTTTTAAAAAGATCATAGACATCCTTACCAAGTACACGCTGAGATCGTGTACCAACCGATGCCTGATGGTGTGATAGACAGTAGAAAGGATGCAGGGCTCAGAATCTGAAGTACACACGATATATTGAAAACCGAAAACAATTAGGGTTGTTTCTTTTTAATGTAATTATTTCTAGTTTTAAAGCTTGAAAAACGTGGAGACCACGTTATATTAAGAAAACAATTATAAGAGGTGAGTGTGAGATGTCACCAGTGGTGATTTCAGAAGTTAATGACCATTTACATGAATTAAATATCAGAGATAGAAAAACCAAATTCCTGGATCTAAAAAAAAGATTGATGCTTCTAATATTCCTTGAGAAAGCATCATGTGGGGGCAGACTCACTCATATCTTGTCCCAGGTCACCTCCTTCTTGCCATCCTTCCCAGAAAATGACAAGGAACCCATCAGGAACATACCAGTCTCTCCCTCTGTGTGAATAAAGGTTGCAAATGGAAGCAAATAATTATACAATTTGCAAGCCTTATGAACTTGAGATTTGTAATTCTCATTCAAATCTGTTTAAACAACTTAGTTGTTATAGAGCCAGAAGCCAATGTATCAAACTTAACCATCCACACCCCATCAGCTGACCCCTCACCGAGATCAGAGTTCCCCTCCTCCCACTACTATGTATTTCTGTCTGTGGATCTGTCTCTGTCTCCTGCTCCCTTTCTCTCCACTGTGGTCCT